GTCATCTTAATATTCATACTGCCTGAATATAAAGGAACCTTTCAATTACCTGATAAAATTGCCAAATAATTACAAGTTATGAAAAAGTCCTAGATAAAATCTGTCTTAATACATAGGAATGAATTAATTTTGAGTTCTTCCCCTAGGAATGAATTTCTAAGGCAACATTGCCCCTCTGCCCCAAAAGAAAATACTGATTTCACTCTTACCCTTTGTTCATATTCACTAGGTACCCTAGTGTCCTAAAAGTCTTGTCAATATCAGAAAAATTTATCTTTAGGAATTGACTGAAATTGGTAGACATGTGTAGGAATTCCTATACTTTTGGCACCAGGTATCCTAAAAGTTGAGGTTCTGTTACTAAAGGTAGGATAAGTTTCCTATTCTAAATTCTTGTTTATATATTTGCTGCTATTATTTTATGTAATTATACTTACAGATGCATATAGGACATATGTCATAAAGGTATTTACAGGTGGCGTGGTAGTTAAGGGCACTGGAGAACCATATGGCCGACACATGGTTTGAGGCCCAGCCTTGACAGCTTGCTTCCTTACTTTCTCTCTTTCTCTCTGTGTCACTCTGTGGTCAAATTAAAATAAATAAGTAAATAACATTAATATAATTTTAAAACGTATTTGTAATAGGTATTGTTACATGATGAGGATGTAATAAGGGTAAGAAATTTTTACCAGGAGTAAGAGAAAACAATTAGAATGATATTATTATCAGAAACTATGGTGGTTAGGCATGATATTTTCAAGTGCTAAAGAACTGTCAACCAGAATTTTATATCCAGTGAAAATATCCTCAAGAAGAATAAAATAGATTCAAGACATGCCCAGAAGAGGGAAAACTAAAGGTTGTGTCAGCAACACAACCTGAAAGATGGCAAAACGAAGTTTCGAAAACAGGAAGGATATAATAAAAGAACGAACCTTAGAGCACAAGGAGGAAAAAAGGACAATAAAATAAAAACATAATGTCCTATCTAGGTTATCACACTGTATTTATTTGTCGGTCTTCTTATTCTTCTATCTGTGACAATTTCTTGGTCATTCCTTAAATCTGCTTTTTTTTTTTTTTTTTTATTAGTAGGGAGTGGGGTGGGGGAAGAGGCATTTTTGACACAGCCTCACTGCTGCAATCTGTGCTGTGATACACTTGCTCCAGCCACCCAGTTAGCTAGGATGGCAGCAACACAACACTCCTGGACTGTTTTAGGCTGGCCAGGGAAGTAAAGCATTGTTTTCCAGTGCAGCTTCAGCCTTGCACAACACCATCCCACCACCTGTGCCACTACAGTTGGGCCATGAATCTGCATGTTTTTCTCTTTCTTTTTAAGTGTTTCTTAAAGTTTTTGCCGTAGAGTATGTGTGCTTCCTAGAGAGACAGAGGGAAAATGAGAAATCACCCCGCAGGAAGAATAGCCACACCACAGTCCCTTCTCCTCCATTTTCCTCCTGAGCTTTTGGACACTCATGCACATGCACCTGGCATGATTTTCAAGCCGCCAGGTATAGGATTTGAACCATGGTTTGCCATGGGGAATTCAGCGCCTTACCCACCAAACCACCTGATAACCCCATCTCATGGACTCTATAAGAAGCATATTGACTGGGAGATTCTTCCTTTGTCCAAGTTGCAGCTTGAACTATTCATCCCAAATCATGTTAATTAGGGACCCAGCAAGAAAAAAGAAGAAGGTATACTCAGGAATTTCTAGAAAAAATTTAAAAACTGCCATTCACAGAGGTATAGCAGGATCAAAGTAACTAATAAGAGATACTAAAGCAACCAGGAACTATTACGAGTTAAAAGCTTTTACTACTCTTGGGAATAGAAGGGAGTAGGGAGTCTCCCAGCAGGAGCAATAGTCAGAGATATATACTTAGAGAAGAACCCAGCCCTGGCAGGACTACAGGCTCTGAAGCATGAAGTGGAGGAAGACACACCAAAGGTTTTACCTCCTCTACCCTTGATCTGCTGGTTCCTCCCATTGGTACAGCTGAAATGGAAGGGACTATGGGACAAAGAAAACCTGGATGGTAGAGTTCTGGAGCAGAGTGGAAGGCAAGAAAGGTAGAGAATAGATCTGGGATGAGGTAAAATGCAGAAAGCTCTGCCTGAGTTTAAAAGCTAAGACAAAATGAGCTAGACACTTCTGTAGTAGAGTAAGTGGACAGCCTTTATTCTATGGCTAAATTCTAGAATATTTTTTAAAAATTCAACATGTTTGATACTTTCGATCCAGTTTTCTCTTCAGAAAGCCACTTCTGATGCCCACTAGGCATATAATGGATGTGATGATTTCACCCCTAAGATTTCTAATTCCAGTTTGATTTTTCTGACCAGGAAAATTTAATTATTAAATTTATTATGTTAAAGTTCAAGGTTTATAGTAGATCATGATTACCTTAGGATTAAGGCTAGAATTCAGCAGCCATCAATAGGTAACATCAAAAGCAGCATTCCCCTTGATTTGATAGTAGGATGGGCATTCAGGCCTTTAACAGTAAATGGTTGACTTGGGGGCTATTCAAATCTATAAATTAGTGGGTTTGCCACTATGTAGTCAGTAGTGTCCATTTCTTTTCTCTTGCAGAGAACATCATGGGAATGCCATGCAGCCCTCTGTCAAAGATAACAGTGGTAGCCATGGCTCTCCTATTAGTGGAAAATTAGAAGGCATCTTCTTCAGCTGCAGCACTGAATTCAATACTGGGAAGCCACCCCAGGATTCACCCTATGGAAGATACAGGTTTGAGATTGCAGCAGAAAAACTTTTTAACCCCAATACTAACTTATACTTTGGGGACTTCTACTGTATGTACACTGCTTATCATTATGTGATTCTTGTTATTGCCCCTGTGGGATCACCAGGAGATGAATTTTGTAAGCAGCGCCTTCCTCAACTAAATTCCAAGGATAATAAATTTTTGACCTGTACAGAAGAAGATGGGGTACTGGTTTACCACCATGCCCAGGATGTCATTATAGAAGTCATTTACACTGACCCCGTGGATCTTTCTCTGGGCACTGTGGCAGAAATCACTGGTCATCAGCTCATGAGTTTGTCTACTGCAAATGCAAAGAAAGATCCCAGCTGCAAAACCTGTAATATCAGTGTTGGACGTTAATGCCCACTTTTCTTATTCTTATTCCCCCTTTTCTTCCCTTAGGAGCATTGACCCTCTGTTGTCCATTTTCATCATCAGATGTTTTCCACTGAAGCATGCACATGCCGTTATCACCAAAAGCAAACTATCACTTTTCAAATTTCATTCTGAGCCGTTTTAGTGTTTCCTATTCCCTACTCTTCCCACTACTTTCAATGATACAATATCCTGAGTTTTCCTCTGACACTTTATTGCCTAGATGCTGCAATGTTTTTATTTTCCTTTATGCCAAACATAACAAAACAACTATATAGACCGCTTTAGCAAAATACAAAATAATGGCTTATAAATGGTGTTTAAATATGCATTCGTTTTAATCTACTGAACAAATATTGGGATAATGCCAACAGCATGAAAGGGTGTAATTGCAGCATGAGTTAAATCTTGAAGCCTAGAATTGTCAGCACTTCCAACTCGTTGTTTGACAGTGTTATTTATGTTATTTATATTAGCTAACAGGAAACAACTACTGTGTTTCAACATAATAAATATAATAGAAAAATATTTTATTTGTATTGTTGTATAAAATATTTACAATCATATAGAATATATAGAGTTACATTTTAATAGCAATTGTATACATGTCACGAAACCATTTCCCTTATCAAAGATGTTATTTGTAAACCTCAAATAGTTGTGTATCTGTCCTGTTACAAGAAGATGAATTCAATTAAACAAATTTATGAAGGACATTATTCTGATTCATACAAATTATAAAATTATCAGGTAAATACAGAGAAAACAATAAGCCTCTGAAATAGCCTGCTTCTGAAACAGCCAATTTTCTTCCCATCCAAACTATATGAAAATGTGAATTCCTTCAACATCATGCTCAAACATTACAGAAAACAGAAATACAAACATGGTTAGTGGATAAGAGAAAATGTCAGCCTTTTACTAATTTCTACAAAAGCAAAAAATAATTAACAGATGTTCTAGTACAAAAGAACACTAGAGAAGATACACTAAAATTGAAGCAAATAAAATATTCTGGCTTCTTTTCTATGGAGGCAAACCATTGCCAAACTTTCAATTTTATACAGAATATAGAATAACTACAGCTCATGAGAAAGTTGACTTTGCAAAGTATAGATATTAGAACATTAAGAAAAATGCATATTCCCAATGGAAAAATAGTTATATAATCTTAGTTATAGTAAACAAAAAGATTAGCAATAATACTATGGTCACATTAAATTATATACTGCAGACACATCTATCCAAAATACCTATTTTAAAATTTAATACAATATTTTATTTTAATATAAACATCTGTCAATTATCAGACAAAGATAATTCACAAAGTACATGCTGTCAGAATGAACTTTGGTAACCAGAAATGTAAAATTTCAAATAACAGATAAAATTATGTGCTATTTTTATTAAGAAATAAAAAATTAGCAGTGACACATTCTAGTATAGTTTAGAGTGCTGAAAGCCTAGCAGACTTAAGGGATAAGGTAGTAGATGTTTTATCACTTAAAAAATCTATTCGAAGTTTCAAATAAATTACTTTTTACTAGCTGTATTCCTCTCTACATGAAAAGCAGAATTTCTTTTCCTTGTCTTACTGAGTTTTTGAAATCATGCTCTTTTCCGTACATCAACATAAACAATCTTTGGACACTAAATAAATTTTCCCTAACAAGTGACCTGGCTATGTGTTATTTAGACTTAATAAAATATTAGGTGTTTCTTGAAATAGTTATACTGACTATGACTTTTCTCATTGGCATCAAAGAGGCTAATTTTTTTTTCCCAATTATATGGTTGCTAGTTGTGTATCCCCTGCCCCTTGTATATAATTACACTTGCCATCCCTTCTCTAAAACAGCTAATACTACCACTAAAGTGCTTCCATTTTCAGTATGTCAAAACTACTTAGCAAGAATAGCAGAGAAAAATAAACTTGACTTTATCTTGGGTGAGGGTGATCATAAACATTTTATGACTCTCAAATAGTTTTAGCCACATCTTGCTTGCTGATGAGGACTTCTAATAGTCTCAGTTTGGCTTTAATGTGCTTGTATTCATAATATTCATCTGCCATTGGTATTCTGTCTTCTTTTTGTGGACTTCTGCAAAATAGAAAATATAGTCCATTAGTCCATAATAGATCAAATAATTAAATATCACACACTGAAAAAGTACAGGGTAACAAGCTTCCACTTGGCTTTTGCATCATGTCTTTTTTATCATCCCTTTCACCTTCATTCACTCCCTTTCTATGTGTTATTAGGTGTCTAAATAATAGTACCCTTTGAGAACTTAAGTGTCTTAAGTATCTTGCAAATACGTGGTCCATTACATAGACATATAATAATGGGGCAAATGAAAAGATGTGAGGATAAAAATGAAGCTAAACCCAAAAATCACAACCTCTAAGGCATTCCTTGACCCATTATTCTCCTGTTACTTGCCACAGTCCCATACCTACACAGAAGAGTTAGCCCTGGTAAGTGACAGTTGTTAAAAACATCAACCATGGAGCCAGCAGATGGCATGGTGATTAAGGCTCTGGATTCCCACATGATCGACTGTGGTTCAAGTTCTGGACTTGAAAGCCTAAAAATCACTCCAGGCATGTGTGTGTGCATGCCCAAAATCCTGAAAGAAGAATGGAGGAAAAGGGATTTCAGCGTGGTCATCCACCCTAGGGGGTGATTTCCCTCTTGCTGTCTCTGGTGAGGTATGCACCCTACTGCAAAAACAACAACAACACATCGACCTGAGAAATCTACAGGAACTTGATTACACAAATAATTCATAAAAATATGATGCAAAGAAAAAATGCTCAGTGGCTGTCTTATAGACTTGGAACATTTCCAAGTTTTCTTGTAATTATAATACCTATCTTTGCTAATGTGTAGTAGAATCACTGAGCTATTCCTTAATTTCTAAGAGTTTAAATTGCAGTGGTTCTGTTCTGTACGTGAATTCTACTAAAGACATAGAATAACATAGATTTTTATATCTAGGCAGTCTAACTACTTGCTGTTTACTTTAAAGAATAATAGCTAATTCCTGGAGTTAAAACCATTTGCCTTCTCACAAAAATATGTTGTAGGATATGTTTTCTAAAGGGAAATAAGTGCTACAGGGTTTTAGAAGGCTCTTGTCTTCTTGGTTAATAAGATAGCCAATTATTATTAATATTTTTTGAGAGGTTTTCACTATAGGGCGCGTGCGCTCGCCAGACAGACAGAGAGAGACATAGAGACAGAAAGCGAGAAATCACCACCCAGGGGGGATGGTCACCCCGCAATCCCTCCTCCTCCATTCTCCTCTCGGGATCTTGGGCACGCACGCACACGTGCCCGGCGTGAGTTTTAAGCCACCGGGTCCGGGACGCGAACTGCGGTCGACTACGTGGGAGTCCGGCGACATAGCCATTACGCTAACTGCTGGTTCCCAAGATAGCCAATTATTTTTAAAACACTTCTACCTATAACTTGGAAATATAAGAGGAAGACAACACAGATGTTTTCTACAATTACAACTGAACATAAAAACAAATTCTCTCTACTATTACTATAACTCCAGTATGACTAAGACTGAAACTAGGTAAACAGGAGATATTTAATGTTTTATCTATAGTCTCTATTTTCCCAATAATGATAAAAAGATATTTCTATTTCTTATAGATGAGAGAAAAAATCTATAAATACTCTTTTAAAAATTTAGTTATCTGTTAGTGTTGTATTACTATTCACTACCCTGCAATTTCTAGTACAGAACTCGAAACACTACACAAAGCCATATACAGGGTTTCTCTTTTTTTTTTTTTTTTTTGAGAGGTTTTTGCTATAGGGTGCATGTGCTCGCCAGACAGAGAGAGACAGAGAGATAGAAAGCGAGAAATCACCCCCCAGAGGGGATGTCCACGCTGCAATCCCTTCTCCTCCATTCTCCTCTCGGGATCTTGTGCACACATACACACGTCCCCGGCGTGAATTTTAAGCCACCAGGTCCGGGACTCGAAATGTGGTCGACTACGTGGGAGTCCAGCGACATAGCCATTATGCTAACTGCTGGTCCCCAGGGTTTCTCTTAAATGTTATCTAAAGCATAAATCCTTTGCCTCCATTCGGTGTTGTAGGTCAACCTTATCACAACTGGGTATCTGAATATCACTGTATTTGTGCAAACAGATCTAGGTGAAGATCTAATTATTCTAAGTAAACACTAGAAATCCATTATATAATTTTATCCTAGTCCTGTATATTGCATTTTAGCTAATAAATAAGAATGCTTTGACCAGAATGAAAATTTCTGTGAAGTCTTTACTGAAGCAGTTTTCCCATTATATATCTATATTATACTGAAGAGCTTAACACAGTTCCTGGTTTTATAATTGTTAATAAGAGTATCAAATCTTTATGATTATCATGCCTTTTCTGTAATAAATATTACCAAGAATATTTACAGTGCCTTCAACTTTTTTTTTTTCCCCCGAGAGTTTTTTTCTGATTGGGCGCATGTGCTCACCAGAAAGACAGAGAGAGACAGAGAGATAGAAAGCGAGAAATCACCCCCCAGAGGGGATGTCCACGCTGCAATCCCTTCTCCTCCATTCTCCTCTCGGGATCTTGGACATGCACGCACACGCACTCAGGGTGAGTTTAAGTCACCGGGTCCAGGACTCAAACTGGACTACTACATGGGAGTCCAGAGATATAGCCATTACACTAACTGCTGGTCCCAATGCTTTCAACTTTTTAGTAACCCATTTGGATGGTAAATTTACCTTAAGGATGGTTAGGCATTTCCATTAAAATGTTACAGGAAAATGAGATGAAGATTCATTTTTTCTATCTATTCAACTGATTTTAGTTGCAATAGATCACCTTTACAGTTAGTTGAAATATAATTACCACAAGAGGGCACACAATCTCATAACCAACTCTAGGTGTATCTGTAGTACAACAGAATACTCTACACAGAACAAGGGATACTAAGTAACACTGCAGATCCACTTGGCAGGGCTACTAACACACTGGGAAGTTCTTACCCTCTTTATGGTAGACTACTGGGTCCAAATGGGTAAAAATGTAAATTTATTCAGGGAATACACATTGTAAAGTAATGAACTCATTTCTCATATATAATAACTATTTACATTTGGAATAGCATCTTCCAAAGTATTTTACTGAATGAAAAATTCCCACAAAACTCCTTTAATATAAAAGAAGAAGAGATCAGGGACCAGGTCACTTTACCAGAATCTCAGAATCTCCAGCTTACAGACACCCTGCTGTGGGACTTCTCAACTGCCATAATCATGAGGGCTGAAGTGCTTTCTAATGGTTCCCCCCAATTCTGAAGTGTCTATTAAAAAAACAAAACAAAACCCAAAGAACCATTCAATACCTCATATGTAGAGCTCTCTGGGAATGGAACCTCCTTCTACGCTATCTAAAGGCCAGTTAGGCACAGTAGGCTAGTTCTCTATCTTTCCTTCCAAACCCAAATATATATATCACTCCTTCTAGATTACAGAAATGTGTATGTACTTTGTATGTCTAATTATATAATCAAACCCCTACTCAGAGGTTAAATTACTTTAGTTTGTTTGATCTTTTTCCTAGAAAAGCCTCTGCAGCCATGACTAATCTTTTTTCATGCTTATCAACTTGCAGGATTTTGAGTTTTTGGTAACGCAGACATTATAGAAAGTCATAAATACTGCTGAAGCAGCAATTTTTTAGAGGAAAGAAGAAAGAGATGACCAGAGAGTGAAAGCTCATGAAAGAAGGGTTCTTCTTCGGGAACCTGCTTATTTTGCCACTGTCAAAGGAGAAGTGAGTCAAACACTTGACAGGATAGGAGAAACAAAAGCACTTAGGTTTAATTTGATGGTACTGGGATGCCTTCTTTCCTGCAAGTATAGTCAATGCCTCTTCGCTCCTTCGGCAAACAGGGAGTACGACTGCCCAGAACATAATCAGTTGGCATCTAGGGTACTCATAGTTAAATGGCATGTTATTACTCATACACCATCTCAATTTATTACTGAAATACCTATAAATACATAAAAGCAGATTTAAATGTATCTTTTTTTTTTTTGGAGAGTTTTTTTCGCTATATGGTGCGTGCGCTCGCCAGACAGACAGAGACAGAGAGACAGAAAGTGAGAAATTACCCCCCAGGGGGGATGGTCATGCCACAATCCCTTCTCCTCCATTCTCCTCTCGGGATCTTGGGCACGCACGCACACGCGCCCGGCGTGAGTTTTAAGCCACCTGGTCCGGGACGCGAACCGCAGTCGACTACGTGGGAGTCCAGCGACATAGCCATTACGCTAACTGCTGGTTCCCAAAGGTCACTATTTTAAGGAATTTTTTGCAGAGAAATCTGAATGAATATTAAGAAAAAGGTATAGAAAAGGGAAACAAACAAGAAATCATTTTACATTCTAAATTTAGCAGACATATGACATTTCTAGATTAGTTAACATCAGCAGAAAGGCTGAAAAGAGATTCCAAACAGAAAACTAGGTGGGTCACATCTGCATTTGCTGAATGCAAAAAGTTTCTCACTTAACAGATCCATTCGTGGTAAATAGCACTGATGACCTGAAATAGAAAGTCTGTCAAGTATTGAGAGGTAAGTTAGTAGACCAAGCTTGGAAGTTTTAAAGTGCGTTTAGAAAGTTGTCCCTCTCAGCATCAGGGCAGCCCTCGGGTTGCTGAACTGAAAGTAATTCTGGAAAGGCAAATACCTTGATGGAGAGGATTATGAGCAGCCAATGTAACACTGACTCCAATGTTTATGCTCAAAATCAAAAGGAAACATGAGTCTTTTACATCACTGCCACTTGATAACTGTAACACCCTTTACATATTAAGACTGATGGACCACATTAAAAACTATTGCTTCCCAAAGTATCCCAGGAGTCCAAATATTTTGGCTAATAAAAGTGGAAACTGCGGCTCAGCCTAGCTAAGTAATTTGTCTACTCCAGAAGTAGAACAAAGACACCTGCTAATTATATATGCAATTTCATTGATAACTCATCAAAAATTAGAGATAACTATGGAGTGTATGAGGCTGACGTTAACACAGAAAAATAGAGGATGAATAGAATATAGTTGAAACATTTACTTAAGTGATAAGGAAGTATGATTATGAGCTTTTGACCACATTCTGAAATAAAATAATTAGGGGCCAATTCTGAAGTTTATAGGAGATAATTAAGCAAAGACGGAATTACTATTTAATAAAGTAGAGAATAGCTTGTGGAATTAAGAAACTAATAAAAACTTAAAAGGATTGGAAAGCTATTTTTAAATAAATTGTTAAAATACATTTAAAAATAGTTATGAGATTTATTATATAAAGCTAGAGATTTTTAGTATTCATCCTTTATTTTTTAAAAATTAATGCATACTTAATAGCTATAGCCTACTGTAACATTGCTAGTAATTGTGCAGTCAGAATGTTACATTGGACAAATCCCAAGTCTGAGTGTGAAAATTATTTACATCTTGTACGAAGCTGCTGTTCCTAGAAAAAAAAAATTGCAGTTCATTCTTAATAACAGTTATCTTAGAAATATTATTTTTAAAAATCTCATTGCCTACACTTACCTTCCTGTTTGTTTAAAAAATTGTTCTTCAAATTCTCTTAAGGCTTTCCGCAGTCTCTTCTTGTCAGCCCTAGTTTCTCGGAGATGATCAAGAAGTACAGGCCTATATCAGGTAAAACATATATTGATAATTAATGAGCACTGGCATAACGGAGAGATTGCTGTGAGCAGACTTATCTGTGCAGCCGAAAAAAAGGATTTTAAAATTGAAAAGTTTCCTGATCATAAAATCATGAAAGAATGTCTTTTGAGCAAGTATGGTACCTATAGAGCTTGACCATGGAATAGCACATAATCAGAGAAAATTTCCTCATGGAAAAAAGGTCATAGGAAAGGCAAAGAGGCAGACATGGGGTAAGCAGATTGAGTCGATGCTAAGAAATGGTAAGAGTAATGACAACATGAATGGGTAAGGGGTATCTGAAGGAATACTCATCAGTTATTGGTAGACTGAATATAAGTGATACAAAAGGAAGAGATTTTAAAGAAAATCCTACCCTTAATCTAAGGAGGGAAAAAATGACAAAATACTTGGAATGAAACAGACCTGTAAGAAAACTAGTGACATTGCCAGTTTTACTTCATCCTACTATAATTATACAGGAAAGAAAGGCCATCTAATTTGGGAATTTTAATCTTGAGAACTTATATATGATTTCAGAGACTCTCTAAACTCTCTGAAGTTATATATCAGCAGTTTCTTAAAAAAAAAAATGATTCCACTAATTTCAAAAAAAGCCAAACAACCCCCCCCCCCCCCCCC